TATATTATAATTTTATTATAATATATTATTATATATTTTTATATATAATAATGTATTATATATTATATATATTATATATATTATGTATATATAATTATATATATTATTATATTATATATATATATATATTATATATATATTATTTTATTTTATATATATATATATATTTATTATAATATTATTTTATTATATATTATATATATTATATTACATATATATATTATATTATATATATATATATATTATTTTATTTTATATATATATTTTATAGAAATTTTATATATATTATTGTACATATATATCTATTTAATTATATTTTTATAATTATGTAATATATTTTATTTTAAATATATAATTTACATAATTATATATGTATGTAACTTATATTATTTTATATATTTATTATATATATTTTAATTTTTTATATATTTTATATTTTTATATTATATATTTATATATATATATATATAATTATATATACATATATAATTATTTTTTATATATATATATTATATATTTATATATATATATATATATATATATATATTATATATATATTTTTATATATATATATATATATATATTCAAAAAGTTGGTCATCTCCCCGAGGCAGGGGGGCCCCAAAAAAAAAGAAAGAAATCCCCAAAAAGAAAATACTTTCTCATCATTCAACACTTTCACCACACTCACACATTATCACTACTTTTGCAGAGGTGCTCAGAATACAACAGTTTAAAAGCATATACGTTTAAAGATACAAACATATCCCTCCAAACTGCCAATATCCCAAACCCTCCTTTAAAGTGCAGGCATTGTATTCCTATTTCCGGACTCAAGTCGATATATGAAAATAACCGGTTTCCTGAATCCCCCCACGAAATTTTACCCTGCTCACACTCAAACAGATCGTCAGGTCCAAGTTTCATTCGTCTCCATTCACCCCTTTATCTAACACGCTCATGCACGCTTGCTGGAAAGTCCAAGCCCTCGCCCAAAAACCTCCTTTTACCCCCTTTTTCCCAAAACCCTTTCGATGACGACCCCTACCCCTCTTTCCTTCCCCTATAGATTTATATGCTTTCCATGTCATTTTTACTTTGATCCATTCTCTCTATGACCAAACCATCTCAACAACCCCTCTTCTGCCCTCTGACTAATGCTTTTATTAACTCCACACCTTCTCCTAATTTCCACACTCCGAAATTTCTGCATAATTTTACAACACACATTGCCCTTAGACAGGACTTCCATTGCCTCCAACCGTTCTCCTCGCTGCTGCATTTACCCCCCAAGCTTCACATCAATATAAGAGTGTTGGTAATACTATACTTTCATACATTCCCTTCTTTGCCTCCATGATAACGTTTTTTGGGCTCCAATATTCCTCAATGCAAACCACCACCTTTTTTCCCCCATCAATTCTTATGATTAAAACCCCATCCTTCATAAATCCATCCGCCGACACGTTCAACTCCCAAGTATCTGAAAAAAATTTTACTTCTTCCATACTTCTCCTCCCCATTTGATATCCCTTTTTCTTTATCTAAATCTTTTGATACCCTCATCACCTTTCTCTTTTCTATGTTCACTTTCAACTTTCTACCTTTACACACATTCTCATACTCATCCACTAACCTTTGCATTTTTCTTTAGAATCTCCCTTTAAGCACAGTTCATCAGCAAAAAGTAACTGTGTCAATTCCCCTTTTGAATTTGATTCCCAAAATTTAATCCCACCCCTCTCCCGAACACCCTGCATTTACTTCCTTTACATCCCCATCTAAAATATATTAAACAACCATGGTGACATTACTATCCCTGTCTTTAAAACCCACTTTTACCGGGAAGTAGTCTCCCTCTCTTCTATACACCCTAACCCGAGCCTCACTATCCTCATAAAGCTCTTACGCATTTAGTTTAAATTACCACCTATTCCATAAACTTGCAACATTTTGCCACATTGTCCTCTCACTCTATCAATGCCTTTTCTAAATCCATAAATGCAATAAAAACTTCCTACCTTTATCTAAATTTTGTTCACATATATGTTGAATGTATACACTTGATCTACACACCCCTACCCACTCTGAAGCCTCCTTGCCTCATCCGCAATTCTACATTCTGTCTTACCTCTAATTCTTTCAATTATAACTTTACCGTATTTCTTTTCCTGGTATACTCAGTGAACTTATTCCCCTATAAAATTTTTTCAATCTCTTTTGTCCCCTTTCCCCTTTTTTAAAGGAAACTTTACACACTCTCCGCCCCAAACCTAGGTACCTTCCCCTCTTTCATACATTTATTAAACAAAAGTACCAACCACTCCCAAAACTATATCCCCCCCTGCTTTTAATTTTCGGTCTGATCCATCAGTTCCAGCTGCTTTACCCCTTTCATTCTTCGTAATGCCTCGCGTACTCCCCCCACTTACATTCTGCTCCTTCTTCATCCTAAAAAGATGGTTCCTCCTGGCCAGTGCATGGAATTTCTGCCTCTTTTTCCTAACATTTAAAGTTCCTCAAAAATATTCTCGCCTCTACCAATACTCCTTTCCCATCTACTAACTCCCTACTCTGTGTTTAAGGACAAATCCATACTTTCCCAGGTTTCTTTAAATGTTTAACTCATCCAAAATTTTTCTTATTTCAATAAAATTTCTTGACGTGCCTCTCCCAAATCTTTCATCTGCTCTCTTTGACTTCTCACCATCTCTTTACCTTTCTTTTATCCATATACTCTGCTTCTTATAAACTTCGGTTGTAAAAAACCTTCGTAGCTACCGTTTTCTCTTTTATCACACCTTACTTCATCATTCCACCAACACTCCCTTCCTCTGCCCCACCTCTATAACCACAAAACTTTGCCCACATTCTAATATGCATTTTGAAAACTATTCCAAACCCTCTTCAACCCACCCCTTACTATCTTTGCCTAGCCGCCTTTCTGCCAATGTCGATTATATCTCCCCAATTCTCTCCTAGTTTATACACTTTCTCCTCACTCTTACTTGTGGTTGCCCCCTTCCTTTTCCCTCTACCTCTTTACTCTAATGTAGCTACAATAAATAATGTCTGATTTTTATCAGTTGCCCCTATAAACATGTACATCCTGGAGCTTTCCCATCAAACCCTTTTTTTCACCCAAAACATTATAAAAACTACTTTATTAGTGTAATTTTACCTTGTTATTTATTATCCTCTTTTTCATAAAATATGATTATTATATTACCAAATTTCTTCTAACATACTCAATTAAAGGCTCCCCATTTACATTTAACCCGGCACCCAATTTACTTACTACTCCTCATAACTTTTTACCACTTTAGCATTGAAATCCCCAACCACCATTACTCTCACACTTGATCAAAACTCCCCACGCATTCACTAACATTTCCATTCTCTTCTCTCCTATCACTTCTCTCTTTCAGGGGGCATACACGCTTATTATAACCCTTTTCACATCCAATCTTTATTTTTCTCACATAAACCTTGAATTTAAACATTTTTAGTCCCTCTTTTCCTGCCTTAGCTTATCCTTCAAATTTTTTGCTACTCCTTTTTAGCTCTAACTTTTTTGAAACCCGCTGACCCAATCCCCTTTATTCTCTCCATTTAAACTCTCCCACCCCCTTCAGCTTTGTTTCACTTAAAGCCAGGACATTTCCCGTTTTTCTCATTCATAACATCCACAATTTATCTCTTTCTTATCATTTGCACACATTCCACCACATTCAGGAACTTTTCCACTTTGACAATTTTCTTCTTCTTATTCTTTTTAGTAATCTTTAAGGGAAAGGGGTTACTAGCCCATTGTTCCGGCATTTTTTTATTTTTCAAAATTTAAAAAATTTTATATATTATTATATATAAAAAAAATTTATATAAAAAATATTAAATATAATAAAAAATTTTATATATTTATAAATAAATTTTAATTATTTTAGTTATAAGTTTAATAAATCAAACTCTTAATCTTCTATTTTATGTCATCAAAAGAATTTTAAATCCTACTCATATTTAAAACATATACTACTTCTTTTACATCTTTTACTTTTGACTATTTTACTTCCCTTTCTTCTCACTACTACTATATTATATTATATTATATCATATCAAAAATACAAAAAGATTACTTCAAATGTATCATCTTATTAAACTTTTTTCCTTTGGTTTTTTTTTTTTTTTTTTTTTCCTTTCTTTCCGCCTTTTCTTTTTTTCGTTTTTTTTTTCTTTTTTTTATTCTTTTTCTTTAAGTGGCCGAACCCAAGGGGGGTGGGGAAAAACGAGGCCAAAATTTTTTAAATTCGGAGAAGGGGGTTACAGCCCCCGCCCCCCTCTTAAGGAGGGTTTTGTTCATTAAAATGTAGGTAAAGGAAATTCCAAGAACCCGTAGGAAAAGAGAAATTAAGGTGGTGAAAAGTTTTTTCTTTTTGGGGACCCCGTTGGGGGGAATCGCCGTTTTATGTTTATAAAAAAAAAAAATAATTTATATGTTTAAAATTAATTTAACTTTAAACTATATTTTTTATGTTATATATATATATATTTTATATATATTTTTTTTTTTTTTTTTTTATTCAAACCATGGCCGTTCCACACTTTTGCCCTTAAAGAAAGAAATCCCCAAAGAAAATTTTTAAAAATTTAACTGGCATTATCTGTTCAAGGGGTAGTTTTAAATCTGAAGTTCATTAAAGGGGCCCCTTCCCCCCCTGTACAAATCCTTTTGGAGGGCTTATCTGTCATGCTTATTTCTTTAAGGAAAATATGTAGAGGTAATAACATATTGTTTATATATAGTAGATAGGAAGGTAATCAGGTTCTGTGATGGTGATTATACGTATATTAGTTAAACAAGCTTAAAAAATTCATATGGTCAGTGCAGTTTTGCTGGTTTGTAGTTGTCTAGAGCTACTGGCAGTTTTTTTCTTTTGTGGAAATCCTTAGAGATGCATAATCAACCTATGTATGGCAGTAAGATATGTGCTTTTAACTCGATAGCCCTGCGAAGACTACGAGCATCGACCCACGTAGAAGAGGACATTGAGGAAATGAGGGCTGAGGAAGCAGCCAGTCAAACAGAGGCTCACATGACTATGTTCCAGCTGGTACGCTCATCAACACTGAGAATGCCTCTCACCATTGGTATTGTGATGCAACTCTCTCAGCAACTGTCTGGCATTAATGCGGTGAGTAGACTAATGTTATATTATATTTATTCTTATACTAGGTAATGGTAATAGATAATACCTCTGTTGCTGATATAAGACTGAGAATTCATCAATAAAAATGAAATTTTCTCTAACCTCAGTTTATTAAAAAAGGGGTTTAGAATATATTCAAATACTTTTCTTTGTATATATTTTATAATTATCATATTAAATGATTTAAATTGTAAGAAATGGATGAGATATATATATATATATATAAAGTCTCATGAATTAACCTGTGGGTAAAATTTTCAAGAAATACATACATGTTTCTCCAAAATAATGTAATATTAAAATAAACATGTCTAAAGGTAGAGGACAAAAATGTGGACAAAAATCACATTATGGAGCAGAGAGTGAACTGTCGAGCTCTCTTTAGAAAATACAGTTTTGTAGATTTCTTATATTCTGCGAAAGCTGGTGCCTACAACTTGTCAGTTATATAAGAACTCTGCAAAATTATATTTGAGGTGAGCTCGCAGCAGTCATAGGCTGTCTGTTGCCTAGTCTGGTATTGTTGCATTTTGGTCATTTACTCTCAGCAAGAACTTTATCTAAATGATAGTTTTCAATACTTGAACATTGCCAGTTGGTAAGTGTTTTCTTATATTTGTAATATATTGTACAGTGGCAGACATGTTTGAGTGATTTGTTTCTCTTGGTTACCTAATTTATTCTCATGCTCTACATGATTTTTTTTACCTAAACGTACTGTAATTGTCCAGACAGTATATAGGCCTGCATGGGGGTTTCTGTTCCATGCATGGATTTTAAGTCAATTCATGAAGTACTGTTACTACAGTTAGTCATAGGCAGTAAGTAGGATAAGTAATGCTTTATTCCTGTATATAGTTTAGTTGCTCTACACAAAATAACATCAACATAACAAAGAAAACTTCAGATTAGTCTATTGTCAACATGTTTTTTGCAAAGAAGCATCAAAACCAAAATAATATAGATATAAATTTAATACTGTACAAAAGTTATGTTTATTACATTACACACAAGCACATGAAAACACACTTTTATATCGTGTGGTATTTTGTCGGCACATTAAAAAAAAACTTGTGGACAACTAGAAAAAATTCATAGATGAGCTACAAAATGGCTTCTAGAGCTAAAAAAAAAAATTATAAAGAAGGGCTGAAAGCCCAAGATGTGTCTTCATTGGTTTATGGGTAAAAAAGGAGGAGACAATAATCATAAAAAAGATTATGAAAAGTTACTGAAGAATATAGACAAAAGATTAATCATACCAGTAGAGAGACCCAAAAGTTATATCAGTAAAATAAGAAGAGTTTCCAAAAGGATTCAAGAAAGAATGGAATGTGTTATAAGAGGAGGTAGTAGGATCTACAACCACAGGAATATTTAAAATTATTTGATAAATTTAACACTGAATATTACAAGCATAGCTTTGTTCCTGTAGCTATAAATAGGTAATTGCATAAGTACATACATATATTATCAACACAAATATAAAATGCATATGGCAGAGAGCATATATAGTTCCTTTAAATAAGTGAAAAGAAAAGAGTGAATAAAAATTATAGGGGAATAAGCTTAGCCTGTTGAGCATACCAGATAAAGCGTGCAGTAGAATTAATATTGAAGAACTTGGGGGTAATACCATAGTAGGATTGCAGGGGAACAAGGAGGATTTTGAAAGTGTTGGGGATGTTCAGGTCAAATGTTTATATTAAGGTTTAAATTACAACATATAAGTGAACAATACTTGCATAAAAATTACGATAAGATTGTTGCGATTATGGATGAACAAGGTAAACGGGTGAATGGGGCAGTAGTGTGGCAGCTATTGCAGATACACTGTATACAGCCTTTCTTCACTTAACAACGGAGTTCTGTCCCTAAGGCCGTGCTTGTAAACAAATTCATCGCTAAGCAAGCAGCATACTATAATGGTAGTGTGTTTGTGTCAGTCATCTTGATATTGTTTTAATGTCACATTTGCACCATTTATACCATTTCTGGTATATTTTTAAATGTGTATACAGTAGTGTACTGTATATTGTAATAAACAAAATAGAGGAAATCAGCTCTAATGTGCATTATTTAGGTATGCATACTGGTCAGAGAGCTTGTAAGTTTGAGTTGGTGAATGAGTACGTCGCTAAGTGGGGAGAAGCTGTATATAGAATAGGTGGTAGGTTAGTTAAAGTGGTATTGAGTCTTTATGAGAAGAGTCAAACTCAGATTAAGGTATGTAGAAAGAAGGTAAAAATTTTCTGGTAAAAGTAGGCATTAGGCAAAGATGTAGGCTTTATGAATCTGGTACGAGGTAGTCGTCTTAATTGATCTCGGCTGATGGTACATTGCTTTTGGGAGATTCGTAAAAGGTTGCAAAAGTTGGTGGAGGAGATTGGAAGAGTGGGTTAAAGAAGCAAATAGAAAGCAAACATGGAAAACAAATGAGGTGGTGAGAGTAAGAAAAAGTCTAGGCAATGAAAGACTGATCATTAGATTGAAGGGAGTGAGTACAGAGGAAGAGCATATTCATACATATTTAGGTGTGGATGTGCTGGTAAATGGGTCTGTGAAAGAAGAGGTGAATCATAGAATAGATGAGGAAGAAAAGAGGTTTATCAGTGGGGTCAAAAAGGAAAATGTACCAGAGTACTGTACTGTACTGTGGTAGCAACATTTGTATGTGTGTAAGGCATGGTCTTTGAATGTTGTATCAAGGCTAAGCCATGAAACAGTAGAGATGTAATGCTTGATATCACTGTGTGGTGTGAATATTTTGCAGAGAATGAGATGTATAGACCTTAGAAGACAGAGTGGTGGTATGAACAATTCTTATATGGTTTGGTCACTCAGAAAGAATGAAGCTAAATGGATTGACAAAGAGGGTGTAAAATTTCAAGATGGGTTAGATGGAGGGTGAGAAGGTTTTGAGGGGTAGGGACTTTACCATCCAGCAGACACCTATAAGCATGTTAGATCAGAGTAAGGGGAAGATAATTAGTGTTCAGGGGCATTTATTCTGGGTGTGCGAGGTGAACACTGCGCATCCACCATAGATGGTAAATTCATCATAAATATTAAGCTCACTCAGTAATATGATCATGGATCATTATGGGAAACTAATTTTTGTACCCTGTTATGAAATAATGTGGTAATTGTTCTGGGTATTACTTATGCCAGAGTAGTAGGTTCAGCACAGTAGCTCAGTGCATACCCTGTGACAATAACCACCATGTGCCACTGGTGGTGTCAAGGATTTGATGTGCTGCAGGAGCATGAGGAAGGTAACATTAATGAAGGAATTTACAGAAACCAGTTAGCTGAACTCAAGTTCTAGAGGTGGGAAGTACAGGGTCTGCTCTCTGAAGAATTGATGAGGTTGCTGTAGTTTATAAGGTCATTTTAATTGTGTGTGCACATTTCTAGCAAGACAACTATTGAGTAAGTCATGGTGAATGGGTTTTCCTTCATTAGTCGCCTTGCCTTGGTGGGGAAGCAATTGAATTTATAATGAAAAAAAATTATGCAGTGTATATGTGTTCCCAGCCAGTAATGTGTAAAGTGTATTCAGTATAGCATGTAAAACGTATGGATAGGTTCTTAGATTTTGTAAATTCCACATACCTTGACGAATGTATACCAAAAATTAAAAACTTACCACACATACTATATAATTATATAAAAAAATGCGATTAAGAACCTGAGAAAAAAGTGAAAGATTAAATCATCATTTCTCTGAACTTACCAGCTAACAGTTGTATATGAGAGAATATCTCAAATTAAGACCTTCCTAGAGCATGGGCCAGTAGGCCTACTGGAGTGCTCTTCTGTTTCTGTGTAGGAAAGCACTGGTTTAGCAATCAAACTGTATATTATGTAAGTGGGAATAGTTGGGAGAAAGTTGGCTCTACCAAGCATGGTCCAGTAGGACTGTCTCAGTGCTTTCTTATGTAAATATAAACCAATTTAAAACAGTAATTGATGATATATGGTTTAAAAACAAATGGGGGCTGGGGATGAGTGATCACAAATGAGTGAATTTATATTGCTTATAATGAATTACTAGTAGAAAAAAGGGTTATTGTTTGAGTGAATCCCCCAGAAATAAGGAGAGTGAGTGAGTGAGTGTGTGTGTGTGTGTGTGTGTGTGTGTGTGTGTGTGTGTGTGTGTGTGTGTGTGTGTGTGTGTGTGTGTGTGTGGTGTGTGTGTGTGTGTGTGTGCGTGTGTGTTGTGTGCGTGCGCGTGTGTGCGTGCACGTGTGCATGTGTGCTCACCTAATTGTGGTTGCAGAGGTCGAGACTCGGCTCCTGACCCCGGCTCTTCACTGACCGCTATTGGGTCCTCCCTCTCCCTGCTCCATGAGCTTTATCATACCTCGTCTTAAAACTATGTATGGTTCCTGCCTCCACTACATCGCTTGCCAGACTATTCCACTTCCTAATAACTCTGTGGCTGAAGAAATACTTCCTAACAACTCTGTGGCTGAAGAAATACTTCCTAACAACTCTGTGGCTGAAGAAATGCTTCGTAACATCCCTTTGACTTGTGTGTGTGTGTGTGTGTGTGTGTGTGTGTGTGTGTGTGTGTGCATGCATTTGTGTACATGTGAGTATTTGCACATGTACATGCCTATATGTACACACCTATATGTAGTTGCAGGTATGTGTTATGTATGTATCTATGGTGTGTACGTGTGAGTGTGCGCGTGCATGTGTGCATTTTTTAATACATTTTGTAGCTTGTCTTTAGATTTTTCTAGTTTGTCAATATGTTTGTCTTTTCTTTGTAGACAAAATGTAATTTCTGTTTATTCTAAGTTTGGTCGAATAATGTTTTCTCTCGTTCATATATCTAAAGACATTTCTAAAGACAAACATGCATGGATAATCCATCAGTGACATAGTGACAATTGTTGATGTAGTGACATAGTCAGTGATGTAGTTAGTGACATTCAGTGACATGATGACAGTCAATGGCATAGCTTAGGCAGTAA